CCCTGACAATGAGTTCCACAGGTTGACTATGCGTTGTGTAAAGAAGTACTTATTTGTGTTTGTTTTAAATGTGCTGCCTATTAATTTCATTCGGTGACCCATGGTTCATGTGTTATGTGAAGGAGTAAATAACACATTCTATTCACTAATGTTTGGAGATATTATATTTGCAACATAAACTGATCTAAATTCATCCTTTGGTTATGTTCACGAAGCCACATCAACTTTGACATGGTTATAAAGGCGTAACTTAGCGCACATTTTGGCCTATCATCATTATCTGGTGAATCATATCAGAAACTGGCATAAGTAACTGATTATTGTATAGAAATTAGAGCAGGAAATCACCAGATTATAAACTCAGTCAAATTAATGTAACTGCAAAAGGTGTAATTTAAATCTAAATTAACTAGAAAGTCTTTTAGGCAAGCAAGAGGTTTCAGAAAATATTTTATATAGAAGTTATAGTTGTGTAATCAACTGTACAGAAAAGCAATTTAGAGGGAAGGGTCAGTGGGTTTGGCAGGAGAAAACCCAAGTCCTTCACTCTTGCTGTGTACTAACAGGGATTTTTCAGGGGAAGAAAAAAGAAAAGGGTAATTTTTCACCAGTCCTAAATTAACTTAAAAGTATGAGATTAATTGCCTTGAAGTGAAAAATCATCTTTGTAGCCTCAGACCAACTACAATATGGCAGTGGCAATTTAAACTTTCTCATGCTGCCCTGTTATTTAACCTCAACCCTATAATGGAAGGACCAACTCTCTAAGAAAGTAGTGTAGTCTCCATGCTCGTTAAATATTTCCCCGCTACTTACAGATCAGTAGTAGTGCTTACTGTTGTGATGGATTTGTGGACACCTGTCTAATGGAGACTAAAATGAACTCACCAACTTATTTCACACTCACTTCCATTTAGTGGTCTGATAAGTAATATCTTTCAGTCTCTACCAATTCAAGCATTATCTGTATACTGACCTACATGTGACAAGGCTTTGTACTCTGAGCCATGCAGTCCTCTCTTTAAAAATAAGAAACCACTCTATAGCCCCGATCCTTCAATTTACAATGTGCAGGCATACCTGCACAAAGCCCCACAGCAGTTCAGGTATCTACCTGGGCATTGCAGGATTAGGGCTTATAACAAACCAGTGTGCACAAACAAGTGGAAAAAATTGTAAGAAGTTAGTTTTCACTCAAAACAGTGGTGATTATTTTTAAGTATATAGATAAATAGAATGCTCTTTTAATTGTATTTTTTAAAAGATATATCATTGTATTATTTTCAGCAAATGTTATCATAAAGTCATTCGTACACTCTCTATTCAGGGGGTCACCATAAGCCTGCTATATTTTTAACCACTCCTTACCCTCTCCATTCTGAAAGTTATAGAACAGGGGAATAAAGCAGGGAAAAGTCATGTTGTGCTTCCTGTCATAGCAACTGTGGCAGAAGGAAAATGAAACAGACAAGAATCATGCAGTTCTCATCAGTTTCACTCTCTTATTACAAGCATCACCAAAAATGTACTATGTGCAGGAGTTCTCTGCAGGGGGCACTCACCCAGAGGCGTAAATAAAACTGAGAGAACAAGCCAGGAGTGAAAGAGAGACAACAAAAACAAGTGAGGAAATAAGACACAGACAAGGGAGGAGGCTCATTTGAATTCAGAACCAAGTATTCTCTCTCCAGGTTGTTAATGTCTAGCAACCACCTTGAGCCAACTAAATAAACAGTATAGACAGGCCCTATGGCCACCGCTTTTTAGCTGGAGGGAGAGTTGCCCTGACTTTTTAAGGGGTGAGAAAAATGGGAAGGATGGTCTTTTGACTAGTGCACCAAGTCAGGAGATCTGGATTCTATTTCCATCTCTGTCACAGACTTATTATGCATAACCTTAGGCAAATAACTTTATTTCCATGCCTGTTTTCTCATCTTAAACTTGAGATAATGAGGTGTAATGTTTGCAAAGCATTTTGAGATCATTGGATGGAAAGTGTTACAGAAAGAAAAAGGTATTAATACTATAAAAGCGTGTCAAAGTGGGACAGTATTCCACCGCCTTAAAAAAAAAAAAGGTAACATTTTATAAGGGACATGCTCTCCTACCTTCTGTCGTATTCTTAACTCAAATTAAGTTAGTAATCCTTTCCCTACTTCTCTAGCCCTCCCATTTCCAAAATGGGCTTTTCTAGAAGTAGTGGTTCTTGTGATGAACAAATGATACTTTTCTAGTGGACACAATTTTATTTAGGTCACTTTCATGTATCTACCCCTGGTTTTCTACACCCTCTTTTTCGTCTCTGTTCCTTTTCAGCTTATTCCCTCCTTTATCCCTCTTGCTACTTTCTTCTTATCCCAAACCTCCATCATCCTTCTTATACCCATCAGATTGCTACCCCTTCCTCAACTCACAGAAATAAAGAAAATGGAAAGGACTGCAATTTTTAAAAAAATCCACATGAATATAATTGTTTGGGATACATCATCTGACTGTAGCAGATTGTCCCACCCTAATTTTCCAATTTATTGGAAAATGGAAGAGCACCCCCATCATCATGGCCAGATTCTTTCTAACAGTCACATAGCAAAAATAAATAAATTAAAAAAAAAAAACAACACCCACCCTTCAACCCCAAATCTGACTACCAATTTAACCCAGAACATGTCTTAAAAAAAAGTCACAGTGGTTTAATATCTAGTCCCATCCACCTTCTCTAGGAACCCTAATAAGGAAGTATGTGCCAATACCTCTGAGACTGAGAATTCCAATCACTGATCACGTTCTGAAAGAAAAATCCCCTTTGTTGGATTTTATCCCACAGCATAGGTCCAATACTGCTCTACCAACTTTGGATCCGCACTGTCAACTACAGAACCTAGATCGCCTTGACATTCTCCCTCCCCACCCCAAGCATCGTAGGGCTCACATGAACAGTGGAATCTGATACATTGAATACTGGTAACACTGCTAGTAAGTATTGCTTCAAATAATTCCCAATAGGAAAGTATATCATAATGCCCAAGGGAGACAAAATTCATGAAATATCTCTGATCAGGACTGCATCCAAGGGTGCACTCTCACAATCTGAAATTAGATTTTTGAAATATATCAACATATTCTGCACTTTATGCTGCCATAACCTAACCTATGAAAATAAAGGAGCAAAGAATATACTAGAATGTGTGGCACACAGAGCTGCAAAGTACTAAATAGAATATGCAAGGTAAAAAAAAAATCCATGTAACGAAAGGATGGAAAGAGTGGCTATAGCTCAACAATAAATGTCAGAAGAAAAGTGTTTCAGCAACACAGATGAAAAGAGCAAGAATCACCATCTTAATGGAGAGTCCAGTTACATACAGGATGCCACATACACATACAACCTACAAGAGGAGAGGTGGCCCTGTTATGCCTGAGACTAGAGATGTTCTTGCTTCCTGACACGTGTGTGTGTGGTTTCAGTTTGCGGTAGGGGCATAGCAGCACTGTGATCTTCAGGACAGATTTCTGAGGAGGGCGTACACTGTTGACAGTGGAGGCTTTGCACATTGACACACTGCTGTGGCTTCACCTGTTAGGGTTCCAGCAGCACCGGAGGCCCAGGGAGATCTGTATAGCTCAGATTGTGACCGAGATAAGCCAAAGGGACTGATCTGAAGCCCGAAGCTCCCTAGCTCCTCGACTCGCCCCTCTCATCCACAGCCCCGAACCCCGTGGAGGCGGAGCCTCAGTGCTTCGCGCTCCCTCAGCCACCCAGCCCGTGCGGACCAGGACGTCCTGCGCTTCTCGGGAAGGTTGTAAACTCGGGGTCCCATCGGTTCGACGGGGACATCGACAGCAGCAGGGCGGCTCCTGGCGAGGGGCCAGCCTCGCCGCAGCAAAGCCCCTTCGGACTCCTCCGCGCGCTTAGGATCACTGAAGGGGCGATAGCTCCTCGCGCAGCCAGCGGAGACTTGCAACCGCCTCCCGGAGCGGGGCTAGGTCAGGCCGCGCTCCCCGCGTCGGTGCCCGGATGCAGCCGGCGGCAGTGTGGCTATGGTGTCTCGACTCTGTCCCTATCTCCCTTCCGCCCCCGCAGCGGGGCTCGGTCACGTGATCGCTCTCACGCCCCGCCCTGCGCCTGCTGTTCGCGTGCTCGCGGTAGCCGTTTCCCGGGGGCTGAGGAGGGGCCCGAGGAGGGGCCCAGCCTGCGCGGGAACCGCAACTCCCTCACCGCGCCCCCTACCACCGCCCGGGGAGTAACCCACCTCGCTCTCGCCTCAAAGGCGCCCCTGAGAATGGGAGGCCGAGCCGCCGCTGGCAGGCGCAGGGGAGAGCGATCCCGTGTGATTGGGCCGCTCAGCTCACGTGACATCCCTACCTCACGCCACCTCCTCGAATAAAACTTCAAAATGGGGGCGAAAATGCCGGGCGGATCCCATCGCGCGCTCCGAGTTCCTACCTGCTTCCCGCCGCCAGCTCCACGCGGCTCAGGGTCACACCGCAACCCACGAACCCGGCTCGCAGCTCCTGAGGCCTTCGCGTGCCACGCGCAGCCTCTTCTCTCATTGGCTGTTGGCCTTGTCACGTGCTCTCACCCCCCCTCGCCTGGTGGGCCCGCCCCCACACCATGGGAGCTGAGCTTTCCGGCGCGAGGCAGCAGCCTGGAACAGGCGATGTTTGGCGCGCGCGCTGAGGCGATAGAGGCCCCAGCGGACAGGCAAAGCAAGCGGGCCTCGCGACGGTCGCACAAGCGTCCTCCTGATTGGCTGTGTGACCAGTTCACGTAGTTTCCGTTCCTTCTCTTGACCACGCCCTTCCTGCCCCTCCCCTGCGCGAGGGAAACACGCTGTTCTCGCGTGGGCCAAACAGAACTCGTTCCTCATTGGTTGCCTGTAGGGCTCACGTGATTCTCTCCTTCCCCGGCATGCCCTGCCCCAAATAACGGCCTAGCCCCGTCACGCGGTCGCCCGCCGGGTGAGGAGGGGGAGGCGAGACTAGGCTCGGTGTGAGACGAGCTGGCAGGGAGCTGCCGAAGCCGTGGGCCGAGCCGATGGGCCGGGCGTGCTGAGCAGGTGTCTTCATGTGCCAGGTACCTGAATGCCTCAAGTCCTTCCCCTCTCAGTCTCTTGCCGCGCCTGAATCCTTCCTGGCATAGTAACTCCCCACTCTGCCCTTCTCTGGAGCGCCGCTGCCCCCTGAAAGCCCAGCCTCTGTACCCCAGGAACGGCCATGACACCCCTGCTAAAGCCGGAGATGACAGAGGACCCTCCTGGTGTGTCAGACACATCCCCCTGGCTGGCACTTCCGGGTAGATTTGTGGCGCCTGAATTCGAGGTGCTGCGTTACAAAACATAGGGATGAACATTCCAGAAGACCCGCAGCCTGATCCGAGACTCCACTATCAATTACAGAAACCAGGTTAAGGGAGTAAGGAATCAGGCTGCTGCTGCTGAGCAGTGGATAGACTGCCACAAAGCAGACTAGCTGGGGCTTTGCAAGAGAAGGACAGTTTTATGTTATAGCTCACGTACATTTATCAGATATATAATATTAATGAGGAATCTCTTAACTTTTTAAAACACTTTATATATTGCATATGACTGTGTCATTTACACCAATAGTTACATATCCACTAAGAAACAGAATGATCACAAGTTGGGGGGATTGTTTGTTTGTAAAATACCTCAGTTCTTTGGCTATAAAAATAGTTTGGTTGTCGAGGATATAGGACACAAAGGATGAGGTGAAGAAAAAATACTATCAGACAGCCAGTAAATTAAAGACTTTTTAGTACAAAGAAACACTAAGAAATGTCAGGCTTTAATTGAAGGTTGCACCAAATTTGTTCTCATACAAGCAAGAGAAAACTCAGTATAAGACTACTTGGTGAATGCATAAACATGTTAATAGCTACGTATAAGTGAATTTTCACATGATTTTGCGCACTTAACTTTCATTGGATTATGCACTTGACTTTCAATGGGAGTAAGGCTATTTGAAAATGGGACATAGCCTGGTCTACACTACACAGGTTGACATATGTTGGCTTACGTCGAACTCTGCATGCATGTATCTACACTAAAATTTGTCTCCAGCCAGCAACCCCATCACAAGACACAGTAAAAACACCTCCTGAACAGCACAGAGCCATGGTCAGCCTACTGAGGTCGATGCAGTGTGAGTGTAGACACTGCATGACCTGTGTCAACCCTAACAGTCCTCCAGCTGCTGTCCCACAATGGCCCATTCTCTGTGACATTTATCAATCTGGAAACAATTTTAAACTCCACTGCCAGGGGTCAGGGAGACCAGAAGCCAAACAGCACGTTAAAAATCCCTATGTGGTTTTGAAATGTGTTTTCCCGATTGACCACCTTAGGGTACATCTAGCAGTTCTCCCTTTTTGCGTGCAACTGCCCAACCGTCCATGCAGATCATAGAATCATAGAATATCAGGGTTGGAAGGGACCTCAGGAGGTCATCTAGTCCAACCCCCTGCTCAAAGCAGGACCAATTCCCAACTAAATCATCCCAGCCAGGGCTTTGTCAAGCCAGGCCTTAAAAACCTCCAAGGAAGGAGACTCCACCACCTCCCTAGATAACGCATTCCAGTGCTTCACCACCCTCCTAGTGAAATAGTGTTTCCTAATATCCAACCTAGACCTCCCCCACTGCAACTTGAGATCATTGCTCCTTGTTCTGTCATCTGCCACCATTGAGAACAGCCGAGTTCCATCCTCTTTGGAACCCCCCTTCAGGTAGTTGAACGCAGCTATCAAATCCCCCCTCATTCTTCTCTTCTGGAGACTAAACAATCCCAGTTCCCTCAGCCTCTCCTCATAAGTCATGCGCTCCAGACCCCTAATCATTTTTGTTGCCCTCCACTGGACTCTTTCCAATTTTTCCACATCCTTCTTGTAGTGTGGGGCCCAAAACTGGACACAGTACTCCAGATGAGGCCTCACCAATGTCGAATAAAGGGGAACGATCACGTCCCTCGATCTGCTGGCAATGCCCCTACTTATACAGCCCAAAATGCCATTAGCCTTCTTGGCAACAAGAGCACACTGTTGACTCATATCCAGCTTCTCGTCCACTGTGACCCCTAGGTCCTTTTCTGCAGAACTGCTACCTAGCCATTCGGTCCCTAGTCTGTAGCTGTGCTGTCACTATCCAGCGTAGAGGTGCACCTATATCTGCAAGTGCATCTTGTTCATCATGTCAACTTTTTTTATAGGGAATACATACATATGCTAAAATCTTTGATCTAATGGTAGGAAATGTGGACTACTGCCAGCAATGAAGGCTAAGGACATGTAAAGAAAGATGAGGCATAGATTTGTGTACTGTCTCTTTAAAGCAAGATTCTGCCACAAACCAGCTGGAAACAAAAGGGGAAATTGCTTATCTGTAATTCCACTTCTCTGAAGAGTTTTTTGTTGTTTTTTTTTTTAAACTCAGTTCCCGCTCTTGGTCTTCTGCTTAAAAGCCCCAAGAGCAGGCATCCAGTCAACATGATATCTTTAGAGAAGTACTATTAATGCAGTTTCTAACTGGAGACTTTTTGGATATTGGTTACTCTACGGGCCAGAGGGCTAAGCCACAAACTCATCCAGTTGTAATGAGTAATGGCTCTTTTCCCACACAGTTTTCTTTGGGAATGTTCCTTTTTTGTACACATCATGGTTCAGTTTCTACCTCACCCCGCAAAGCTCATCAGAATTTTGTTTACTAAGCAAAGGAAGAACTTACCTACAATGCTGTCAATCTGCAAGTTGTTTGTGCTAGCTACATCTCCTCTGTTGTCTAAATGAGATTCTGCTCTGTCCATTGCTGGTGCATGGGGCTGTCAGGGAAACTACCAGTTATTACCATAACCAAGACAAAACAGCTCGCTATTCCAGTTCAAACATTCAGGAAGCCAACAGTTCAGAGAGTCAGGCATTTATGAAAGTCTAACGAGTGCTTAGAAGCATTTTTGATCTTCTTAATCGTATTTTTTTTTAAAAACAATATCTCAGTTGAGTGAAAGGCTTAAAGCTACAGATCAAATGTAGCTGCGGTGTAGCAACACCAAGAATTCAGTTGCTTTGTGTTTTCCCTTGAAAGCTTAGCCTCTTCAAGGGATTGTTTTATATGCATCTTAAAATGCAAATTCTTCAGGACAGAGCACCTATCTTGTGTATCTTCACTCATCCAAAGTGCTGGATAGAACTGTGCATGTACATATTGCTACCATCATACACATTTTCCTGAGCTATGATATTCCTGCAGACAACTTAGGGCTTTTGAAAAATAACCTCTCAAACTGTAGCTCTAATCTGGCACAAACACTACTTCCAGACATAAATGAAAAAACCCAGCTTCTTGACTCGAGTTTTGTATAACTTTTCCTTGGCTCCAGCCTGCTGTCTGAGGGAAAGCATTTACACAAATGTCAGAGAGCTTATGACCAACACCCACATTGAAAATTCAACCAAGTTTCACCAGGGAAAGTTACAGAGCTCCAAGAAACTGTGCTGTGCAACAGTTCGCAGCCATGAGCTGACAGCTATGCAGTTACTAAGGGCATTCATCTTACAGGTAATCTTGAGAAAAATGCAGGCTGCAAGTCTTCCGGCCTCAGATAACATTTATGCAGGGTATTTCCTTTAACATTGCATTTAGAAAGGACTTGAAGTGGCCCCTGAGGGAGAAGAAAATGAAGGTGGAAGACAAAGGGTGTAACTGCACTGTGTGACAGGGAGGAAACACACTGATAAAGTGAGAAATAAGAATTACTGTTTACTTTTGTATCTTGGTTCTCTTCTGACCCAATGCTGCAGTTTGCACCTGCTAGTGTACTGAGAAGGCCAAAGCCCTGATTCCTGTCTGAAGAAAAATAGCTGTTAATGCACTCCTGCCTGGAGGAAACAGGCAGTATTGGATCTCCTGGGCCTGTGGGAAGAAGTGGCTGTGCAAGCACAGCTAGAGATCAATCATAGAAACAGGGATCTCTATGAGCAGATTGCACAGGGAATGCAGGAAAAGGGGTACAACAAGGATCAGCAGCAGTGTTGCATGAAAGCGAAATAACTTTACCAGGGATACCACAAGCAGGGCCGGCTCCAGCATTTCTGCCGCCCCAAGCAAAAAAAAAAAAAAAGCCGTGATTGGCGGCGGCAGTTCAGTGGCAGGTCCTTAGCTCCTAGAAGGAGTGAGGGACCTGCTGCCCCCGAATTGCCACAGGTGCCGCCCCTCTCCCTTGGCCGCCCCAAGCACCTGCTTGTTAAGCTGGTGCTTGGAGCCGGCCCTGACCACAAGGCCAGGGAGGCCAACAATAGATCTGGTGCTGCCCTGTAGATCTGCTGCTTTTACAGCAAACTGCATGTCACGCTTGGCAGAGACCCCACCAGCACCCCATGAACACCTCTGGATACCTTGGAGGAGCCTGAGACAGAGATCCCTGCCAAGAACTGTGAGGAGAAGGAGGGAGGGAGAAGACATGAGCAGGGACTCCAGCCATGCCATGAGCTAGGGTCTATTTGCAACTCCACCACAGTCTAGCCTGTCCCGAGCATGGATGAGCCTGATGAAGGAGAATTGAACTCTGGTAAGTGTGTGCACGCATTTTGACTTACAATGATTAAATTTAAAGATGGCCCCCAGCCCACCCCCAAGTTAACAAGACAGAGGTATCAACTTTTCAGTGTTTTATTTGTATGAGAAGAGATAGAGATGCAACAAACAGAGGTAGAGTTGGCATCTGTTTTTCATTCCCCTGTTGGATTAGGTGGGGAAGGGAGGCATGCGAAGCACTTTGTTTATGTACATGGGGATGTCCCTTTTATATTCCAGAGAGATATCGATGAAACTATCATGTAGGATCTCCGTAGTCCTCTCCTGTAGGTTTCTAGAGATGGCTGCCTTATTTCTTCCTCTGCAGTAGGACACTTTCCCATGCCACTCTGCATTGAGTTCGGTTGACACCATTGCAGTAAACAGGCTAGCGGCATATGGGCCTGGGCGGCTTTGGGATGCCAGTAGCAGCTGTGTTCTCTGTAGTTTTGTGACCCACAGGAGAGAGAGAGCAGCTAAAATCACCACCGCCTGTGGACAATTGTGCCAATATTCAGTGCCATTGCCCTATACTCATACCCATGAAATAGGGACCAAAATTTTATAGCTTCATGCAACAGAAAATCCTTCTCCAACCTTGCCCCTGGTGGGCCATACTCGCCATGACGGGGGCTGGAGAGCAGTGCTGTGCAGAGGTGCTCCAAAGCTGAAGTGTTACTAACTGTGTCTCATTAAAAGTGTTTATGGGAATAAGGGAAGAGAGTTTTGAAACTTACCTTTCACTTGTAACTGTAATCCAATGGTACATCTGTCTGGTTTTATCAGCAGCTTCTGACACGGAGGGCTTGAGGGGTGCACCTGACCAAAATGAGGAGGAGTAAAAAGAGGACTGGGGAGCACATGTTCTGCAAAATCCTGCAAGCCAGTGCTGTATCGGACTGTGAACAAAGGGCTTGAAAGGCCAATGTGACTGACAGTATGGAGAAGGACAGAGAGGACAGGGAAAAGGCCAGGAGTCCCAGCTAGATAAGGAGAGGGAAATGGATCTTCTCAGGCAGCAAACCCTAATGTTACAGACCTTTGTTGACCTACAGGTCCAAAAATCCACAATTCTCTGGTCCATGGTCGCTACTCCCTAGACCTGTCAACATACCAGATGGCAACACAGTGCACATAAATAACCCTGCTACTCCATGTTTGGGGGACAGCAAGGAAAGCCACTGCTTCACATACACCAACTATGGTTCTCACAGATCAGTGTATGTGTAGCCACAACGGACTACATTTGTGCCCTCAGATATAAATGTTTCCTCCCTTTCTAGTTTAAATTTTTTAAAAATTTTCACCCAGTTAATTTATGTTTAAAAATTTGTATAACATTGCCTGTGGGGTTTTTTGCACATTGATTTTCTGCACTGTTTTCTCCCACTCAATAAAGATAATTTTATCTTCCAAAAACAGAACTTTATTAGTTCACAAAGAATTTTGCAGAATTCATAGCAGTACTCAAAGCACCACATAGTTCATAGTTTCAGAAAACTCCCAGTCATATTTATAAATGGACAGCAAACACAACAGTTCTGAGAAGCATCCAAAGCTACCGGCCCAGAGCGTACTCGAACACAGAACCCTACTGTGTCTTACTATTAAAGTGCTCTTTCAAAGCGTCCCTCAACTGCATAGCTCCATGTTAAGCTCTTGTAATGGCCCTTGTGTCTGGTTGTTTAAAGTCAGCAGAGAACTGCTCCACCTTTGTGGCAGCTTTTCCCACTATGCCTCACAGATATTATGCAGGACACAAAATGCAGCTATAACTAGGGCCCTACCAAATTCATGGTCCATTTTGGTCAATTTCATGGTCAAAGGATTTTAAAAATCATAAACTTCATGATTTCAGCTATTTAAATCTGAAATGTTAAGGTGTTGTAATTGTAGGGATCCTGACCCAAAAAGGAGTTGTGGGGGGGAGTTGCAAAGTTACTGTAGGGGGGTTGCTGTACTGCTACCCTTACTTCTGCACTGCTGCTGGCGGTGGCACTGCCTTCAGAGCTGGGCAGCTGGAGAGCAGTGGCTGCTGGCTGGGAGCCTAGCTCTGAAGGCAGAGCTGCTATCAGCAGCAGTGCAGAAGTAAGAATGGCATGATATGGTGTTGCCACCCTTACTTCTGTGCTGTTGCCTGCAGAACTGAGCCCTTAGTCAGCAGCCACCACTCTCTGGCCACCTAGCTCTGAAGGCAGCAGCACAGAAGTAAGGATGGCGTGGTATGGTATTGTCACGCTTCTGTGCTGCTGCTGGTGGGGCGCTGCCTTCACAGCTGAGCACCTGGCCAAAAGCCACCTCGCTCCAGCCGCCCAGCTCTGAAGGCAACACAGAAGTAAAGGGGGCAACACTGTGACCCCTCCTAAAATAACCTTGCGGCCCCCCTGCAACTCCTTCTTGGGTCAGGACCCTCATTTGAGAAATGTTGGTCTCCCCCATGAAATCTGTATAGTATAGGGTAAAAAACACACAAAAGACCAAATTTCCACAGTGGGAGACCGGATTTCATGGTCAGTGATGCGTTTTTCATGGCCGTGAATTTGGTAGGGCCTTAGCTATAACCATTGGGATATTTTTCTGACTGAGATCTAATCTTGTGAGTAAACACTGGCAGCATCCCTTCAGTCTACCAAAAGCACATTCAATTGTCATTCTGCACCAGCTGAGCCAGTAGTTGAATCTTTCCTTCGTGCTGTCAAGGTGGCCATTGTATGGCTTCATGAGCCAGAGGAGCAAGGGGTGGGCTCTCCCATTTCAATATCACCAATGGTAATCTGCCAGTCAGAAAAGAATATCCCTGTTTACAGCTTTCTGAACAAGCCTGTGTGCTTAAAGATGTAAACATCATGCACCTTCCCTGACCAGCCCACACTGATATTGGTGAAGCATCCACAGTGATCCTCCAATGCTTGCATAACCATAGAAAAGTAGCCCTCTCTGTTGATGTACGTGATAGCAAGGTGGGCTGGTGCCAATAGGAGTATGCGTGCTGTCTGTTGCCACTCCTCAGTTCAGAAACCCCATTGCTGCAGATCCATCCACTATATCCTGCACGTAGCTGAGAGTCACAGTCCCGTGTAGCTGGAGACAATAGCCCTACACACTTGCATAATAACAGCCCCCACTGTGGATTTCCCACTGACTGGTAGCAAACCAGCATTGCAAGTTTCCACAGTGCGACCACCACTTGCTTCTCCACTGTCAGTGTAGCTCTCATTCTGGTGTCCCTGTGCTGGAGGGCTGAGGCAAGCACACAGATCCAGGTATGTGGCCTTTTGCATCCAAAAGTTCTGCAACCACTGCTTGTCATCCCAAACTTGCATTATGATGTGATCATGTGACAAGTCAGCTACTCATTTCTCGGGACTAGACGCGGTGCTCCACCATCTGCAGCTGCTCCAATACCACCAGCAACCTTGACATTCTTTTCTGCTATGTCCCTCAGTAAACTGTCTTTGAAGACATTCTCATGTCCCTGGTTATTGTGGCACTTCCTGTGGGTCTGAAAATACAGGATATTCATGCGTCCTGTATTTGCCATGTTAATGAGAATAGTGCAGAGCTCTTTGTGCTCCATGCTTCTGTCAGACACCGAAAAGTGCCACGCTTGTTTGTGAGATTTTTTTTCCTAAAGTGCAAAAATTATGGGCTATGGGTGGCATTATGGGATGGAGAAAGTTCCATGCTGGGAACTTGACCGCTAGCTCCCAGCAATCTCTGGGTGAGTAATTTCTATCTCACAACACATTGTGAAAATTTCCCCAAAGGTGTGCCAGATTGCATGGCATGGCGCACTTTATATTGACATAAGCACTCCTGCTATGTCAGCACAGTGTTGACACAAGCAGCCAAGTATGCATGCGCCCAAGTGATATATGAACTTTAGCAGCTGTACACTGATGCAACAGCATCAACCACATTTTGTAGTGTAGACGTGGCCTTAGGCTCCTAAATCACATAGGCATTATAGAAAAATTTTCCCAGGTCTACACCAGAAAAACAACTGTTTCAGAGAATGTGGCTACAACAGAGCTTTCACATAAACCACTTCTAAACATGGTTGAAAGTTATAGTGTAGATTGGACCTTCACTGGGTTTTGCAATCATGCTGACGTCCTGGAGGCTTCTTGGTGGGCTTTAGCCTGGTTAGAAAGTTTTGAAGGCTAAATTTTTAGCGGTTTTAACTATATCTACACTGTAAATTGAAACCTTGTTTGTACCCAGGTTAAGGGACAACCATGTTTTAACCAGCTCCTTGACACAATTGCATCTGTAATGTAAATGGGGCCCAATTCCACAAGAGATAGATGTTAGATCCAATTTTATTTAACAAATTCTTTAGTTATCAAGAAGAACGGAGGAAATAGCACATATATTAAATTTGCAGATGATACTAAATTGGGAGGAACTGCAAACACCAGAAAGAAAAGAGAAGTAATACAAAGGGACCTAAAAAGATTAGAATTATGGACAGAAATATTTCAATTGGACAAATGCAAGCTAAGACATACAGGGGAAATAAAATAAGTCACAAATATTTATTGAGAAGGAGACACTTGGAAAGCAGCAACGCTGAAAGAAATCTAGGGTCAATCATGGACAGCATATTAGAAATGAGCTTGCAATGCAATATGGCTGCAAAAGAAGGCAACATGGTTTTGGTTTGTAAAGGCAGAAGAATCCCATCTCAGAAGGGAAGGTCTTTATACTGCTCTGGTGAAAAGGTTCCTAGAAAATTTATTCAGTCCTGGGGACCTCAATTCTAGAAATTTATTGATAAATTGATATTTGCAGTGTTGGAGCCATGTTGGTCCCAGGATATTGGAGAGACAAGGTGAGTGAGGTCATATCTTTTATAGGACCAATAAAAGATATTTCCGTTGGTGAGAGACAAGCTTTTGAGCTTCAGATAGATTGAAGCCGTGGTGATGCCCAAAATAAGCCTGTACCAAAGCCCACAGTCCTCACCAACCCCTTCACTGCCCATTCCCACCCCTGTCCCTCACAACCTACCTTTCCTCTGTAGGCTGATCAGATTTCCAAAGCAAAGTGCTAGGAAACTAGTGGGGTTGTCATGGAAAGGGTTCTGGTGGGGGACCAGGCTAGTTGATAGGACAATGGGACACAAAAGTAGACCTCTTGTCCCATTCTCTGTTTTTTTTTTAACAAAGAACTGTACACACGTCACAGTAAAGGGAAAAGTAGGACAAAACTACATTAAGAATTAATACATCATTAATCAAACGTGAGTACACTCTAACAACTATTTGGGGTTCCTACCTTACACACAAAAGGGTTTTGTTGTGTTGTTCATAGACTCAGCAATCCATAGTTCCCCAGAGCATTCCCTGTGGGAATCTGCAAGGCTGTCAATGTTCTTTTATCCTATGGGTTTCCCTGACCAGCTGGTAGAGATGGTCCCAGGCACTAGTGATGCATGAGAAAGACGTCTTTCATTGCCGTGACATCGCAAATCCTCTTTTGCCCGACTTGAGGTTCCCAATATAAACTCCAGCTTTTTCTGCTTTTGTAGAAATTAACTCATGTGGCCTAGCATGGTTGCCCAAGGAGAAGAAAGGTTGCAAGGAGCCTTCCCCTTTCACAAGCGACCCTCTCCCCCCCCCCCCCAGGGGGTCAGGGACAACAGAGTTCCTGAACTCTCCTGAGCACAAGGATTGCCCCCAGCTAGTGTTCCCCGTGGTGCTAGCCACCCTATAGAAGGCGAAGGGGAGACAGAACTACTTGGCCCCTCATACACTGGTCAAAAGTGGAGCTGGCTGCCCACAGAGGGGACCACATGTAGCACTACCAAGAAGGAGGGGCTTAGTGGGTTCACTGCCCCTTTGTACTGGCTTGTGTGGAAAAAACGGCTTAGAGGGCCTTCTGGATAACCGACAAAGTAGTTTCTCCAAAGGCCCAAAATCAGACCTCCTGACAGAGGCGTGTGACATTGACTGTCTTTACAAAAAGCAGTACAGGCCAGGGCCTGAACAAGACT